CTGGCAGGGTGGAGTTGCTGGACCCTAAAGGCTGAGGAGTGAATGAAACAACTCACTTCATTCCACACGTTTTCTGAGAATCTTGGCATATTGGCATTGTCCAGGGTGTTGAAAAAGCAGGTGAACAAGGGAGATGTGGTCCCTACCTTTAGGGAGTGCCCAGTCCATTGGTAGAGGCAGATCTCTAAACTGACCGTGGTAACTGGGACAAGATGGGCACCAAACGTATTCTACAAAAAAAGGAATTTCTTTTGTTTTTTTGTTAATCCTCACCCAAGGATATTTTTTCCATTGATTTTTAGAGTGGGAGGGAAGGAGTGTGTGTGGGGGGAACATCGATGTGAGAGAGACACATCGATTGGTTGCCTCCAGCATGTGGGATTGAACCTGCAACCCAAGTATGTGCCCTTGACCAGGAATTGAACCTGCAACCCTTGGTGTGCAGGCTGACACTTCAACCAATGGGCCATACTGGCCAGGGCCAAATGTGTTTTTTGTAACCAAAATGTCTTTATTAAGATGTAAGACACACATACACACACACCCATAAATACCTGAAGAAAACAATGAAGATACAACCTTCAGTATATTAAAATGTGTGTCACTGTATAGCAAACCAACACATCAAAATTGAAAGGGAGCCCAGCTGGAATGGCTCAGTGGTAGAGCATCGACCTATGAACCAGGAGGTTACTGTTCGATTCCCTGTTAGGGCACATGCCTGGTTTTGGGGTCGATCTTCAGTGCTGGGGGTGCAGAAGGCAGCCGTTCAATGACTCATCATTGATGTTTCTCTCCCTCTCCCTTTCCCTCTCTGAAGCCAATAAAAACATTAAAAAATAATTGAAAGGGATCAACCAATTGAGAAGATAAAATGTTTTGCAAATGTAGTGTAAGCATCTTTAAATTATATGAAATGAAAATAAACATCTGAGTGCAGAAAGCAACATGTACAATACGAATAAGTAAGGTTTAGAAAATGGTAAATGTGTATATTTATTTATAACCCACACTTATAAAATTAATGTTTATAAATAGTAAATATGTAGAAATTAAACATTGTAGATGCAAATTAAAATACAAATTTTGTATATCAACTGGGAAGAGCTTAAAAGGAGATTAGAAATATTGCTGAGTATGACTAGATATTCTTTTATTTTGTAAATTTAATACTTTTTAAAACTCATATAAAAAACAATTTCAACATATAATCAATAAACCTTTTTCAATTACAGTTTACTTTCAGTTTTATTTTGTATTAGTTTCAGGTGTACAGTATAGTAGTTAGACAATCATGTTCTTTACAAAGTTTTCCCCCCCACACGTCCAGTACCCACCTGACACCAAACATAGTTATTACAATATTATTGACTTTATTCCCTATGCTTTGCTTTACATCCTCTTGACTACTTTGTAACCACCAATTACAAACATGCACTGAGCACCCAGTGTGTTCCAGGCACTGGAAATACAACAGTGAGATCAACAGAAATCCTTTCATGGTGCTTACATTCTCATGGGTGGGGAGAGATGGATAACCAAAACACTCAGTATGCCAGATGGTGATAAGTGTTATGGAGACATAAAGCTGGGAAGGGAGTGCAGGGGAGAGGGGTTGCTATAAGGTCCCTGGTAACCCGAGTCCAAAGCTCCCATCTTGGTGGGAGCAGTCCAGAAGCAGGAACTTGGCAACCTATAAACCACAAAGTGACCACAAGCCCTGCCAAAGCACAAACGACCAGTGAGAATACCTGCACCCGACTGCAGGAAGGACAGAAAGCACAGGGGAAAACAGACAACATTGATTCTTTATCCAACTCCCCACTCCTCACTCCCCCTCCCGTCCGGGTAAGCCCTACAGAAAAGTCTCTACCTCCTCTGGGGTAGTGACTGCCCACTGAGCCTCACCCCACCTGCACCCAGGTGGTTTCAAGTTAATCTGTTTTTAACTCTCAACAGGCCTCCTAGGTCTCTCCCTTGGCAAATGCCCCAGCAGTGGCAATATTAAACAGGATGGTCAGAGAAGGCCTTTTGAAGAGGTGAACGAAGCCTGGAAGGATGACGCCGAGTAAGCCACAGGGTAAGTTCGGAGAAGCAGGGAGAACGAGTGCGAGGCCAGCGTGGTGAGGGTACGGCTGGCATGTTCAAGGAACAGCACGGATGCCGTGCAGCCGGAGCTAGCGGGGCGACAGAGGGGCAGTCCGGAACCACGCTGGGAGCGACCTAGAGGCCATTAAAAGAACGAGGGCTTTCGAGTGGAGTGGGAGCCATCAGGGGGGCATTTTGAACGGGAGGGGCGCAGCAGGCCGGAGGGGCATCCCAGAGCGGGCGCACACCACGCCTCGGGGAGGGGCGGCGCCCTGGAAGAGCGGTTTCTGAGGGCCAGGCGCCGGGCAGCGGGGAAGCGCGCCGCGGAGAGGCAGCAGCCCGAGGAGCAGAGCTGACCC